ATAAGTGCTACAGCATTAAGGGCATTAACAGTATTAAATGGATAGTTCACACAAAATTAAATGTTGTTCCAACCCTGTATGACTTATTTCTTCTGTGCTACATAAAGGAAAGTATTTTAAAGAATTTCTTCAGGGGTTTTTTTGTTTTGGTATATATTTGTAAATGTACTTTAATTATATGCACAAAATCATTCTTCAAAATATCTTCTGATATATCTTCATGCTGTTTATTTCAGTGTTACTTTAGTATTATTTGTATACTATTATAGTATTTATTAATATTTTGAATTAGAGTTTATTTTAATATTTTTGGTTTTCTTTTCAATTTTAAATTTAAGTTTTAGTAATTTTATGTGATAATTTTATGTTCTTTTTATTATTTTAATAATTCTTTATATTTCTATTTAGCTTTTATTTATGTAATTTTACTACTTCAATGTAAATATTTTAGTAATTTTTTATGTTCTTTTGTCATTTGTATTAGTTTTAATTATAAAACTTATATTTCATTATATTTCATTTTAGTTATTTCTATCTAGCTTAACTTATTTTCATTGTTTCATTTCAATTTTAATTTGATTTTAGTACTTCAACGTAAACTTATTTTATTTCAGTTGACAATGCAACATTCTAAGTTTTTTTGTTACATTTTTTCATCTAAAGTTTATATTTTATTTTATTTCAGCTTTATTTTAGATATATAAATGTAATTAATAATATCAACACTGTTAAGGTTATTTATCTGATATTTGGCCATTTTAAGGTTATCAGCATTGGCTTGCTTAGCCAACTATAACAAGTGGTTGTAAAATATTTGAAGAAATGAGACTGCCATATTTCATAAAGCAGTAATCCAATAGAATTAGACTGTAAGTATGATACTGTCATGATTGGGTATATTGTGCTGACTTTATTATTTCAACATTCCTTTATTTTACAAAGTCACACTCCGGCTGTGTGCTTTGCTATGGTTTATAGCCGTCAGACTAACTTGAGCTTGTTTCAGGAGCGTGTACGGCTCCAAAGGGACCTGCTGACTGTGGAAAAAGCTGCTCAAGAAAACCATAAACAAGCCAGAACACTGCAGGAACAGCTCAGAACCATTTCCCAAGAGCTGCTCTGCCTCAGAGACAAGGTACAAACAGGAAATAGCACTGTAACACACCACATCTGTTTGCTGTAATAGATCTGTTGCAGATAAACATATTTGTTCTACTTGTTTGGGCTAATTTCTGAAGCACATGTGCTAATCAGTAAATATGAGGAAGATGAATGGCTGTCATGTGCCTCTCTCAGTTGCAGAGCCAAGAGGAGGGCAACGCTCGGCTGTGTGAGATCAAGGACTCTGTGCGCTCTGTGAGGTCACAGGTGAAAGTGGAGCTTGACAGTGGGCTGAAGGAGCTGGAGCCGCCCTCTAGTGCCTCCTCAGACACAGACAGCCTGAAAGAGAACCATCACGATGTTACACTATCCGTGGGGAACCCAGCATACAACACTAAGGTGAGCCTTTCCATATGCACCTCCTAAACAAGTGTTTTAGTATGGGAGGTATGGGTGTAAAAATGCACAGATTACTTTAAAGCAGTGGTTCTCATGTAGGGGACCGGGTCCGTCTTGATGACAACTATGAAAATTATTTCAAATAAATCAAATCGAGCACTAAAATAGGTTAAAACTACTAACCTAAACAACGAAATCTAAATATTTATGATTTAAATTCACCTTTCTTAAAGGGATAGAGCCCAACAATTCTGTCATAAATTACTCACCTAAACTCTGGGGATATTTTGAAGAATGATGGTAACCAAACCATTTCGGTTGTCACTGACTTCAGTTGTATGGACAAAAAATACAATGGAAACCAGATGGAACTGAAACTGTTTGGTTACCAACATACTTTCATTTTTGGGTGAACAATCAGCTTTCATTTAATGTTTCTTCGCAGAACCAGGGTTTCCACTGTTTTGGAAAACCTTGATATACTGTATGAAGTAGCATCATTTTCTAGGCCTGGAAAAGTCAGGTAAATTCATAAAATCTTCAAATGCAATGGGCATTGTTTTTTATAATGAATACACATTTTACTAGTTATGGCAAGCTTTAAAATATTTTATCAGGTAGCAGTCGCGTAAAAATATATTTTTAAATCCTTATCCTAATTCATTATCCAGGATATTGTTAATGACTAGAATAACCGTAGAATAATTATAATTGAAATTAAATAATTATTTTTAATTTACAGAAACTAGGCCTGCCCGTAGATTATAGTACGTTTTGAAAACAAAATTAAGAGGCTTTTGAACATTGTTGTGGACTGCAGTGGCCTTGGAGTCAAAAAAAAGTTGTCAACCACTGCTCTAAAGTAACATTTACTTAATTTTACAGCACTGAAAAAAAAATTAAAATTACCAAAAAGTAGCTCATTTAAAATATTTTATCAGGTAGCAGTCGCGTAAAAATATATTTTTAAATCCTTATCCTAATTCATTATCCAGGATATTGTTAATGACTAGAATAACCGTAGAATAATTATAATTGAAATTAAATAATTATTTTTAATTTACAGAAACTAGGCCTGCCCGTAGATTATAGTACGTTTTGAAAACAAAATTAAGAGGCTTTTGAACATTGTTGTGGACTGCAGTGGCCTTGGAGTCAAAACAAAGTTGTCAACCACTGCTCTAAAGTAACATTTACTTAATTTTACAGCACTGAAAAAAAATTTAAAATTACCAAAAAGTAGCTCATATGACTTTGTTTTGAAGATTTCTTCAGCTCATATCTTATTTCTGCTTATGTATTTTCAAACCTGGCACTTCTGCAAACCATATATCATTAATGCATCAGGAGTTGAGATGCAGTCAACAGTGCTAATGTTGATCTTTTGCTACAAACAGGATGAACAGTGGCGAGGCGAAGCACTGAGGGAGAGACTGAGGCAGCAGGAGGACCACTTCAAGGTACAGCCAAATCTTGATCATTTGATAAGCTAACAAACTTTGAGACATTGAATTGTATTTTGTCTTAAAATTTTAAATCTGAGTCTGTCCATGCTATCCAGGTTCAACTGCGCAGACGCATGTTCTCCCAGCAGGAAGTTCTGAGTCAGCGCAGACTGCAGACTGAAGGCAGCATTCAGGGTCTGCGCAGACATGTTGACAAACTGGACCAGCTCCTCAGCAACTCTTCCAAAGACTCCTATTATTTGAGTGACTAGGAAGCTCTGCCAAAACAGAAACAATACTCTACTGAGCCTCATTGACATGAGGAAATATCAGAAAAGTATCCAAGCAGCATATGTAAAGAAGGAACTAATTTCCATTATTTGTCAGATTATGAAAGCAGGTGGTTACAGAGGAGTACAGATCTTATCAGATGAGCAGTTTGATTAAACCCGCATCAACCAGAAAAGCACAGAGAGAGCATTGAGCCAGATCCACAAGACCATCTCAGTGACTTCCTGCTTCAGTTAGAGCAGAGGCTGGATGTTTCAACCTTCTTTATGCCAGAAAACTAGGCTGGCATCAGCGCTTTCCATACACAAATAAGAAAACTGAAATTTGAGGTAAAAATAAGATGGTGAAAGTTTATTCTCTACCTCTTGATTTGTTCTTGTAGCTTTATGAAATTATTTTTAACACAAACCGGTATGTGCCTTCTTAACGTTTGCTCATGTTAAAATAGACAATGTCTTGTGAGTGTTTACAGGTGAAACAGATGGAGGAAGGTTTCATCATGTGATGTCATTGATGCACTCATGTCGTTGCAAAAAAAGAAAAACAGGCCGTGCTCTGGAATGAATGTTCATTTTTACATGACTGTTGTCAAAAATGACCTTGTATTCAAAGCCAATATATGCAGAGTATTTATTACAGCACTTCTCTTTATATAGTTTGTCTCAAATCAAATACAACTTAAATTAAGTGTGCAATAGTCTTTCTTTCATGTGCTTGTCCAGTTTCTCGTCTCATTATTGCTCATATACAGTGCGACCAATCGTGTATGTGGACAAAAACACAGTCTACAGTATTGTCTTTATTAACATAATTACAAACAAAAGTCACTTACAGAAGACATAACTGAGCAGAAGATAAATTTTTGCAGATGTCATTAAGATGTGGAAAAAGCAAGACGGTAGGCGCAAATTAAAAATGGATTTTCAGCTTACAAAACAACATATCTAAAATCTACCATAATACACAAATTTAATAGAAAATCATATTTGGAGTGCTTGTTTTTGCCTTTTTATGTTCATTGCAAATGTTGCATGATGCTGGTTGTCGCATCAGCCCGTTTGAAGTTCTTTTTTCAAATTGCTGTACTAATCAGATCTGGGCCGAGTTTCCCCACAATTATGTTTCTCATGCCTATTTGTTACATATTCATAACTTTTAAGATATTAATAACTCCTTTAGGGGAAACCATGATGTCTGTATTAAGCAGTTGTATCATGCATCATGCTCAAGAAACCTTTAAGAAACTCAGCTCTGTGCAAAAACATGATCAGTGTTTGGAAATCAATTTAATGGAATGCTTTTGAAAAGGCTCTTTCAAAATCTCTATTACAAGTGAATTGCTGGAATTCTTTCGATAAAAGCTATACGAGGGTTTTGAATAAAACGGGCAGCACATCAGGGGGAACAAAAGCATATAAGGCAACTGACATTATCAATGTAAAAACAATATGAACATCTTGATATGATGAGGGTTTGCTGGGCCTGAACATTCGGTACATGATTCTCCTGACGGTCTGTTTTTCTTAAGCTACTGTGATGTTGAAATTTTTACAGATGCTCAAGAACAGACCGAAGGGGATCTGAAACCTCATAGTATGAAAGACTTTAGACCTCAGTAACACAAAACAAGCTCCTGGCCCTCGGAAAACCGAATCAAAACTGCAAAGTGCGGAAAACATTCTTCAGGACCTAAAATGTGTCCCGTCCTTTTCAATATATTACTATAACAGTTACTAAATTAAAACAACTGTCTGAATCGACTGATTTTTTTTTTTTACAATGGACCTTCCATTGAGATTCTTCTCAAAACAATACTAATCCTGTATAGTACATGTATATTATTTCCTGAATAGGTACAAACAGGGATAAATATTTGGTGATTGGATGTGAAACTGCAAAAACTAATTTAAAACAATACAATATTTCAGTTTTAGAACTTTTAACAAAATGTTACAATATTGATGCATATCCTGCTGATCACTTCATCATGTCAACACGAATAACGTCTGCCAATATTTCTGTTTCATTTACATTACTCTAGTATTCAGACAGCTCCTGTACATGAGATGTTTAGTTTATGGTTATGCACATCACGTCTTTAAAGGATAAACCCAGCATTTCTTCAGTTTATCGACAATAATCTTCTCTCTTCAGGTTTAGTGTTCAGCGGAGGAGCCGTCCTCCCTCGAGTGCTTCCTGAGAGCACTGGGATGTGTGCGTAAGAGAAATAAGCAAAACAGCTGAGGGAAGACAGGAGAAGAGGAGGAAGGGAAGAAGAGAGCAGTAAGGAGGGAATTAATTTCGTTACACCTCCAGAGCCATCTGGCCCCAGACTCCATGAGCAATCATACCGGAAGGGGAGAAGCTTTTAGATGCAGAGGGACGCAAACGTGGGATGTGGGAGAAGAAGGAATCGAGAAATAGAGAGAGAGTGAAGTCTTCATGGTCATTAACAGCTGCAGCCCTCCTTCTGGGGCTGTGCGTCACTGCTGAGCCGGCCACCCTGGGGAGCGGTGGGCTTATGCTGGACCCCTGACTCGGCCGCGTTCAGGTCCAGGCTGCCGTCCTGAATGTTCTGGTAGATCTTCTTTGCGGCTTCAAGGAACGCATCCTCCACATTCTCGCCTCTGTTGGAGGGACATTTGCAGAGATGCTAAAGAGGACTGAAATGTGAAATACATTCTACAGATGAAGAGTGTATGCTGTGCCGGCAGATGGTCTAAAGGCCACTTACGTTTTTGCGCTTGCCTCGAGGAATAACAAACCTGTTTCAAAAAATTGGAGATGTGAAACTGAGCGTGGAGTGTCCTACAATGTACAATGAACCGCTTCATCATTTTGATCTAAAAGCAGTTCAGTTTAAAGGAAGTGTTCACCCAAAAATGAAAATTTGTTTAAAATTACCCTAGATGTAGGCGAGTTTGTTTCTTCATCGGAACAAATTTGGAGAAATTTTGTATTACTTCACTTGCTTACCAACTTGCTTTGCAGTGAATGGGTGCCGCCAGAATGAGAGTTTAAACAGCTGATAAAAAACATCACCATAATCCACATGTAATGACTCCAGTTTATCAATGAATGTTTTGTGAAGCAAAGCGATGAGCGTTTATAATAAACATAACCCATCATTAAGGCATTTTAACTTTAAACCATTGCTTTCTGCTAAAATACGAGACCTCTATTCATAATATTGCTTTCTCCAATAGAAGTCGTCTCGTCTTAATCAGTAGAGAAATATGCACAGATCAATCACTGTTTACAAGCGAAAACAGTCCAAAACAGTTCTAAACAAATATGTTTGTGGATTTTGCTGTTAGAACAACAGGGGATGGTTATGGACTGGTATTTTGGCCAGAACTGACATTTTAAAAAGCCTTAATGATGGATTTGTTTCTTACAAACATGCAGATTTCCGCTTCACAAGGTGTTAACTGATAAAATGGAGTCATGTGGATTATTGTGATGTTTTTATCAGCTGTTTGAACTCTCATTCTGACGGCACCCATTCACTGCAGAGGATCCACTGGTGAGCAAGTGCTGTAATGCTAAATTTCCCCAAATCTGTTGAGATGAAGAAACAAACTCACCTACATCTTGGTTGCTTTTAGCAAATTTTCATTTTTTGGTTAACTATTCCTTTAACAAAAACCACTTGCCTAAATAAGACCTTGAATATTCTAACTTGCGTTTTCTTCTTAACCAACCACCTTACCGTTTTCTTCAGCAAACTGCTTGGCCTCTTCATATGTGACATCACGCTGGGCTTCTAGGTCTGCTTTGTTACCAATTAGAATGATCACCTGAGGAAAGATTCAGATTGTCTTACACAGGCTCAAGTTTGGTCTTTGTGCAAACCACATCTGCAGTTAAAATATGTATGAAGCTCCAACACCATTCACTCAAATGGAAATGTAAAGGAATCATTTACCAAGTTTGGACTGTTGCTGAAGCTAATAAGGAACTTACAGTATTGGGATTGGTGAGATTCCTGGCATCAGTCAACCAGCTGCTGAGGTGATTGTATGTGCTTCGCCTGCAAACAACACGAATCGCATATGTTCCTTGTTGTGACTTTTAAAAATAATATGATAATAAGCGCAAATCAAAAGGTAACATCAAACAGGTAATGTCAATGCAATCAGAGCAGAATACTGGTCTACCTGGTGATGTCATACACCATGAGGGCCCCTGCGGCTCCTCTGTAGTAGCTGCGTGTGACGGCGCGGAATCTCTCCTGCCCTGCAGTGTCCCAAATCTGAAGCTTCACCTTCTGCCCACTCACTTCAATAATCCGTGTGCCAAACTCAACGCCAATAGTATGAGGACAGTCGGCCATAACTAAAAAGAGTGAATAAAAAAAAAAATTATTTTAGACTAAATAAAAGGACTTTTCATTACAAAATGACAAAAGGTTTGTAACCAATAATCAACATAAAAAGGATAACATATATATATATATATATATATATGGTAGTGTTGTCAAAAATACAGATTTTTTTTTTTGATACACAGATACTTATATGCTTCAAACTGTTTTGATACTCTTTTTCCACAATAGCTCATGATCTGGTAATTTTAGCATTTTATAGTGGCTCGATTCACAGTAAATGCTGTGAACTTCAAACTTCACAGTTTGCATGTGACCGTCCCTTGGGAAGATCGCTTGGAAGAAGCTTTTGAAAGGAAGCTCTCCAAGTATGAAGGACTCGTCAGCGACTGCAAGCAGGCAGGATGGAGAGCGAGGTGCATCCCAGTTGAAGTTGGATGTAGGGGGTTTGCAGCACGTTCCTTGGCCAGAGCCTACAGAGAGCTGGGCATTGAGGGAGCGAGCAGGAGGGTAGCTATACACAGCACCACAGAAGCAGCAGAGAGGGCTTCAAGGTGGCTATGGCTAAAAAGAGGAGAGCCATGGAGTACTAAGTAGCCAGCCAGCTGGACACAAGCTGGGGTCTGATCAGCCTCAGCTGGGTCACCTGGAGGAGGGTGTATGATGTTGAAAGACCCGAAACACCCGATGATTCCAGGAACATCACTGATCATGTGTCCAGCGGCATCAGAAGATGTATGTGCACAACATGCATTTAAAAAATTCAACATATACCAGTTAAGCTTTGTTTTCACATTCCATAATCTCCATTTTTGTGGACAGATCATTACAGCTTTTTTACAAGATTTGCAATCAATTGTAGATATGCAATTAAGATTTGTGATTATTTGACAATTTTGTGTTGTCAAAGAAAATCAAAAGGTTTCTCTGCAGTTTCCCACAGAAATAAAAGCTTAAGGCTTTAACTCTTACAAGAAACACAAAAAGTATTATAATTTTTCTACTGCAATGTAAAGTAAAATAATTAATTGTGAAAATAATTGTGAAATAATAATTTATAATAAAATTAAAAAATATATATTTTATTTTAGTGTAGTTGTATTACAATAGTAATATATTTCTGTTTTGGAAATAATAATACATATAAATTATTAATAATATATTATCATTACTATTAAATAATAGCTATTGGGCCTGAGGAATCTCAAAGACAATAGTTCATAAGAAAAAATACTTATTTGTTATGATTACGGTCAAGTAGATGAACTTAGATACTGTTCAAATTTTATGCCCTTAATGTTGTGGTAATTTTCCCTGTGGTATCAAAATGATATTGGATCGAATATTGATGTTTTGCAAGTTATTGTATCAAAATGATTAATTCCAGTATTGTGATAAAACTAGTAGGTGGTGTTAGCCTGTATCTCAAAATGCACTTTTGCCTTGTTTTAGCGTAATTCATACCACTCTTAGCACTTACATTTCTTTTCTGTGAACTGGTGGAGTAAACATGACTTTCCAACGCCCATGTCACCTATAAAGACACCAAATGGTTCATACGCATGAAAAAGACAACAAAATGTCCAAAGAAAGCATTAAATATTATGAAACGTTTATATAACATATTGTATGTTCTATAAGGCAGTGCACACGTAGTAGAAAACGGACTACTCACTTACCAATAATGATATATTTGAAAATATAGGAATAGTTATATGGTGCAGTCGTCATTTTTGCTCTGGAAAGAAGAAAAATGATTCAAAGCTTAAAATGACACATTAACCCATAAACAGTCGAAACAAACCAAATATTGAGAATTCATAGCAACAAAATGAAACCACACTGACAGCAATCCAGCAGCGCTCAGCTGACCGACTGTCCTACTATTGTCTATTAAGACACGTTTCCCTTTTCCTCCACAAGTTCACCTAACCTCGGTAGTGAGCGTTCAGGACAAATTCGGGATGATAACTATGCGGAAATGACAAGCAAACACGTTAGTTATGTAGATGTAAATGTATACGGGTACAGAGTAACGTGACACTGAGCTAAAGGAGCATAAACACTGACTGCAGCACTACAATCAGCCAGCGCCATGACTGACTAATCAGCTAATCACACACTGCTGTCAGAGGTCTCGCAGCTATATGCTAGACCACACCTAATTAAAATCACTCCAAAGTATTTTTAACGCTTAAGCCAGCAGCACTTGTCTTTCCGTGTCGCATTTCAGACGATAAATATGTTAATGTTGAGCATTAGAGGACTAGTTAGCGTTAGCTGACCTCGCGCTGAACCAAACCCAGAGATGCTAAAGCTAACAGCTACTACTAAAATCAGACCAGTAAAGCGTTAAAAACAGTGGCAGTCGTTAGTATCCAACGATTTTGAAACGTAGTATTGTGAAATGTGTCTTTTCATGTGTTTATCCTTTACCTAAAATATAAATTCAAGTGGTTTTTGGAGGTTTGGGTTGGTCTCGGCGTGTGTGAGCCGTCCGGCCGCTTTCTTCCTCTAAAAGTGCTGCTAGGATGAAAACACAAAACAGTGAGAGCAGCGACCTCTACTGGAGCAACAGCACCACACACACACACACACTCCTCTACTGGACTAATGTGCTTCCTCAAAAAATGGATGCAATAATAATCGTCACTTCACACAAAAAGCAAACCAAATACAAATGGTAAATAACTGCTTTTCCTAAAGTGACAATGTTCAAAAGCGAAAACAGAATATAATTGGTTCAGAAGGAAGAAGCTTTTCTCAAAAACCCAAAAAGAGTATTTTCATAAATGCCCCTTACGAAAATGAACCATAGTTAATAAAACCAAAAAAGCATGGTTACTATAGTTAAATCATGGTAACCACAAATTAACCATGGTTTTGCTACACTAACCATAGTTAACCATGGTGTTTGTGGTAAAACTGTGGTTATACAAATAGGCAAAAAAATAATAATAACTTATATACATACGTAAATACATACACTTTTACTATAATAAAACCATGGTTAATTTTCGTAAGGGGCCAAGTCCAGGCAAGCTGCCACACAGGTTTTAAAATAAACATAAATATTTATCATTTTAGTTGCAATATTCGTTGTCAGTTTAGCTCTTCCGTTAGCCTAATGTTTTGCCACGGTCTCCCCTTTACCATTATATGAATGGACAGAATAATATACACACGTTGTATTCTGCACGCTCGTTTTTTGTTGTATTTGTTGTACACGTTGTATTCTGCACACTCTCTAAAGCAAAACCTTTCTAGACATATAATGGCGCACTACACGGTGTCTCCTTTATTAAGACTGGTGCGATCAAGCCTCAGAGAATCAATGAAACAACTGAATCAGTGTAAAAATGTACTGTGCATTTGAAACTAAACATTGTATTATATAGTAACATCAAACCGCAAACTCTGCACAATATATGTGTGTGTGTGTGTGTGTGTGTGTGTGTGTGTGTGTGTGTGTGGTTGTTTTTCCCGGAAGAAAATGCATGTTCGTAGAGTTGACTAATGAGAGGAGGGGTTTCATATGCAAATAAAATAAACCTGTTGAAGATGTTACTCTCAGTACCTGCGGAAGCTCAGTGCTCAAACCTACAGCTGTCGTCCCGGACTCATCTGTTGATAATACCTTAAAAGAAAGCTTTACCCAGCAGGTAGGCATATTTCGAAAGCATTCTATTTCATGGGGCTTTAGTATAGAGACGCATTCATGTGTTTCCTGATGCATAGTCACCAGCTGATGATGCTATTAATTAATTACTTTTCTCAAGCATCACTCATTTACGGTAGGTAATGTATTTTTTGTGTGTATCTATTAATGCATTATTCTAACTGAAAAACTAAACTAGGGCCGGTTGCATAAACAGCCACTATGTTAAGAATGTGTCTTAAGAACTAGTTTGACCAACTAGCAGTTAGCCAAGAGATAATCAATCTCAGTTTTATGATTAAAATTGGGCCAATCTATGTTGTTGTAACTGACTTTAAACAGTTATGACCAGTCTAGAAGAAAACAAATTAGATGGCTAACTTTTTAAGACTAGTCTATTATGCAACCGGCCCTGATCTAATATAGACCAGTGGTATTTAAAAAAAATAATAATAATTCTCTATAAATACTGCAAATTATATTATCACTATAGTAACCAATAAACTGCATTTCATGTCAGATTATGCAAGCAGGGTAACTTTTACCTTTAACCTTTTTTATTGTCTACTCCTGAATGGCATACAGTGGTTGAGAACAGGTAAGTGTTGAAGTAAGCCAATTGTTGTGCTGCTGCACCTCTGCAGTGCCAAGAGAGACCCGCCCTTTCTGACTCTTCCTTTTTTCATTGGGGGTGGAGATCTCTGCCTGAGGGCATGACGAGACTCATCCACCTCATCATCCACCTCATACCAGGAGAGTGGTTTGATTGCGGAAGCATTAGAACAGTTTTAAAGATGCAGACAAAGTGTTGTAGACCGAGAGACAGAAACTGCCTTTTGTTTTCTTTTGATGGATCCGTTTAATAGGAAATGAAGAACAAAGTACACAATCCTTCCTCTGTTTAATCTTATTCTCAACAATAGACTTATGTGGAACACAAGAGCATGCAAAATATGGCTATTGTGTATGGCTGTTACAATAGATGTTGTTTTCAAACAGCACCATGGTGAACCACCCTGAATTTGAGAAGGCAGGGAAGCAGCCAGGCCTGCAGGTATGGAGGATTGAAAACATGGATTTGGTTCCTGTCCCTAAGAATCTTCATGGTGGCTTCTACGCCGGCGATACCTACCTCATTCTCAATACCATAAAGCAAAACTCTGGAAATCTACAATATGACCTTCACTTCTGGATAGGTGAGAATGTGGTTAGTGTAAATGTAAGGTCCTCTCACTCAGTAAATGGTGTGCATGTTCACTGAAAATCTGTTTATGAACATTGTTAATTGCATCTCCAGGTGATGCATGCTCAATGGATGAGAGTGGGGCAGCTGCTATCTTCACCGTGCAAATGGACGATTTCCTTGGAGGAAAACCAATCCAGTACAGAGAAGTTCAGGGATATGAGTCAAAAACCTTTGTAGGCTACTTCAAATCAGGCCTTAAATACATGGTGGGTAGAGTTAATACGTGTACCATGCTTTGATGCATATAAAATGTATTTGGATACTTGGTCAGTTCATAATAGCAAAACAGTAAATAATTTTTCCTTAAACTGCTTTTCATTTCTTCAGCAAGGAGGAGTTGCCTCTGGATTCAAACACGTAGCTTCCGGTGAAGTGAATGTGAAGCGAGTTCTCCATGTGAGTGGCAGACGTGTAGTCCGGGCCATTGAGGTACCCGTGAGTTGGGACAGCTTCAACAAGGGTGATTGCTTCATCCTAGACTTTGGACAGGTGAAAGATGATATGAATTAATTGTTGCCTTTTCTCTCTCTTGCATTTTATCATAAGGTATCCCATGTATTCATGCTGTTTCTCTTCTACTTTCATCAGGAGATATACCAGTGGTGTGGGTCCAAGTGTAACCAATTTGAGAGACTGAAGGCCACCAGTGTTTCCAAAGATATTCGTGATAATGAACGTTGTGGGAGAGCAAAACTTCTTGTATGTGAAGAAGGATCAGAGAATGAGAAGATGCTAGCGGTTAGTATAATAAAAGAAAGACGTTTCATTCATTCATTTTTGATATAGGTTAGTGCCTTAAGGCTAGAATACACCACACAATATTTGAAAAATTAAGCATCATATACTTGCTGACAACTGAAGATCTCACACTACCAGACCATCAAGTCATTCCAGACACAATAAACTCACACAGAGACATGTGCCTCATTGCTAGAAGTAAAAGTTTGTAAAATATCAAACATGCTTGATGTTTGACTGAACTGAACTGGCTCTGACTACCTCAACTAGTGTTGACTCTTCCAGACTGCAAATCAATCAAAAATCAGGGCAAACATTGTGTAGTGTATTCTAGCATTTAGTAAGTATTCAATATTATTTTCTGAATGTGAATGCTTTACTATATTTTGTCAGATGCTTGGACCAAAGCCTGAACTTCCTGATGCACAGACTGAAGACACCAAGACTGATGCATCCAACAGGAAGTCTGCAAAATTATACACGGTACAGTAAGCTATACTCTCTAGGTTTTCCCTGAGAAATATTGAAAACTTAACAAAATGGTTTATTCTGGTGGTCATTATTACCTAGGTCTCAAATGCCAGTGGCGGTATGTCTGTCACTTTGGTGGCAGATGAAAACCCCTTTTCCCAGAGTGCACTGCAGTCCACCGACTGCTTCATCTTGGATCATGGTTCCAATGGCAAGATATTTGTCTGGAAAGGTCAGCTGAGCACATCATTCAAATGAATTCCAAATTTGCATTTGGGACATGCCTGAATGAAAATCTTGCCCTTTTGTTTCTTTAATATAACAGGTAAAGAGGCTAATAAAGAAGAGCGACGTGCAGGTATGAAAGCTGCTGAGGACTTCATAAGTAAGATGGGCTATCCTAAACACACTGAGGTCCAGATTATCCCGGAGAATGGAGAGACTCCTCTTTTCAAACAGTTCTTCAAGTTCTGGCGTGACACAGACCAGACAAAGGGTATGGGACAAGCCTATGTGCCCAACAAAATTGCCAAGATCAAGAAAGTGCCCTTTGATGCAACATCTCTGCACAAATCAGAGGCAATGGCTGCTCAGCATGGAATGGTAGATGACGGGAAGGGGGAGAAAAAGGTAAATGTACTGTTGTGCAACAGATTGCAACTATCATGTGTTTTTTAAAGTAGACAAAATAATGGACAATTTGTCTTGTTTTGTTGCTTTGGAAAGATCTGGCTCATTGAGGGTTCAGACAAGGTTCCAGTTGACCCATCCATTCATGGGCAGTTCTTTGGAGGAGACAGTTACATCATCCTGTACAGCTACAAGCATGGGGGACGTCAGGGGCAGATTATATATATATGGTAAGGGCTACAGACCTACTGGAATCCATTCAATCTTTTATGAATGGCTGAACCTGTTTCTAAGCCAAGGTCTTTGTCTGCTCATGTTACACAAAAACACTCGGGTAACAGAACACGGTCTTTTAGTATCTCTTAGGCCCACCAGGCTAAGCTTCTGTTTGTCAATAGGATGAGTCATCACTGCAAAGGTTTATTAAATGGAGTTGTTTGTTATGTCCGCAGGCAGGGGGAAGAGTCCAGTCAAGATGAGAAAGGAGCTTCTGCCATTCTGGCTGCCCAGCTTGATACAGAGCTCGGTGGGAGTCCTGTGCAGGTGACAATTGCTTGGTGCACATTATTCACCTACTACTAAATTATAGACCAGGAGTGTCCAATCCTGCTCCTGGAGCGCAAATGTCCTGCAGAGTTTAGCTCCAACCTGCCCTAACACACTTGCCTGACGGTTTCTAGTAATCCTGAAGACCTTGATTAGCAGGTTTGGGTGGGTTTATAATCAGGATTGGAGCTCTGTCTGCAGTACACCAAACTAGAAACCCTTGATATACAGTGGGTATAGAAAAGAATCACCCCCCTTTAAAATAATCACATTGTTGCTTTTGTAGCCTGAAATGAAG